ACAGGACGACAGCACAGCTGCTGTCTAATCTCTCGGTGAAGCACCGGAACACATATCTGCGTTACCTGTTGACCCCGCGTGAGTAATTCCATCCCGGAGCGGCAGTGTGTGGTGCGCTAAACTGCCTGGCGTACACAGTGTCTGTCCCGACAAATGAGGGCTTATTCATCAAATTTCTTATGACAACCAAAGTTCTACTGGGACATCCTCGATACCTCAGCCAGATTTTGTTAATCCCCTTCGTCCACCTGTGCAAAATTGCGCGAATATATCACAGGGCAGAGGTGCAAACGGAATTACCCCTTATCTTTAAAGAACGTCTCCATCGAGTTTTTTATGGGAAACAGAGGTGGACGCTTATGAAAAGTATGACGAATGTTGCAGGACTTTATCTGGTACCGACTTACCTGACTTGCCGGNTGTCTCGGATCGAACACGACCACATCTTTTACAATTCGGCCCGGACTGTACACATGAGCTGAATATGGTGATTCCTCGGTGCCGGGACCACTGGCTGGATCACCACCGTCCGGGACAACCGGTGATGTGGAAGAGGTGGGTGAGGATGAAGAGGTTTTCGTAGATTTACCCGGGACCGCCAATATCTTTGGTGGATGAATCGCTTTTAACAAGCCGACTGCCGCAGTTGTATGCCGTCCCAGACCATCGTCCGCGTGATCCGCGTGACAAGGTGTACGATCTTGAACGAGAATTTGGCGAATTCGACGAGTGCGCCGCGTGACGAGTAGATCAGCCAACCCGGTGCCTTGAATCAAACTGAAACAGTGATGGACAGGCGAAGGAGTACCGTAAATCTGCAATTTCTTGATGCCACAGAACCGCAACATGCGCCATAACCTAATACTAAAATAAAAAAAACATCGAAGACTAGAACCCCAATGATCAAAATATCGGCCTGTTTCGCACCATCTGGCTTTATGCTGCTACCTTCCATCACTAATGACCCATCGAAATGAGCATAACAGTGACACTTTAAACTAATCTATCGGGACGAATACTGTAAACTGAGGAAAGACGACAACGGGAAGTTTTTAAAAAGCACGTCAAAGCAAGTACGCACTAGTTTGGCTGGCGCTGGTAGAGAAAACCGGACTGAACCGTAGACTACTATTCTTGTACCTAGCCTCAACACTCCAAACGATACAGTGTAGTTTGAGAACACTGGATTGATGATAGTAGCAAATGAGTCAGCGATGAATCCAGACCGTGTAATTCTAGCCGTCCGCCTATCCGGTGGCACCAAACTGAATAGAGATGAGTCATTCGGAAATCTTCATCGCGTGTAAGTCGATCTGTCGAAAACAAAAAGCCACACACACACACACAGCAACATCACATGTACAACAGCTGACAAGGGCCATTCACGCGAAATTTTTCTCTGAAAAAACTGGCAGCAACGCTCTGTGTGTGTGTGTGTGTGTGTGTGTGTGTGTGTACGGGGGACGGGGACGGAACGAACAGCATGCTGTACGCAAACACCTCGGGTGTGATCAGAAATAATTTCAGGTGGACGAGTGAGACGAAACATTCGAAACTAAAAAATGTCATCAAGAAAAAAAGATTACTACAAACTGCTATGGAATAATCCAAGTGAAATTGTTCTAACTATATATAAAGGTCGACTTGATTATTTAAAAATTTAAAATATTTACCAGTGCACTCACACAGATCGTAACCGATGGTTAGAGACACTGAGTGATATGGCAGGGTGTCGTCAACAGTGGCGTCCGTGCATCATCTCAATTTCTTTGCAACCTTAGACCACTGAACTTCTACATTTTCTGTTCGACTCCACTTTCCACTTTTCTTTCTCCTCCTTTTCTTCATTCCAATGGGCAGCCAAAAGACAGCAACCAAAACCGGCGCACGAATGTGTGGCTAATGGCTGTACAAACTGAAACTGAAACTACTCACATGCACGCACCAAGAAGCGGTTATTAGATTCCCTCAGAATTCGTGAGTGGATTCAAGGATTTACTTTAGTAACCACAGAGAATGCGCGTCTACTGTCAGGCCGTTCCGGTACTTATCCTGTGTGCTTCTGGGAATTCTGAAGACCTGTGGTAAAGGAGACATTTTGGTGTACGTACGCATGTATACACATCATGGAACGTTTTACTTTTTTTATAAAGATTATTGTTTAATGTGAGTAATGGATTATTGGATTGAATTTCAAAGGTGAATTCGTCGTGTATATGGCAAATGAAAAGCTAGGAAGCACTGGACAGCTGTTTTGGCCTGGTTGGGTCTCATCGGCAGTGCGAATCCATCGACCCAACTGGAGATCGAACCCGGGACTTCATGGTCAGAAAGCAAGTATGCTACCCACTCGGCCGAGTAGTCAGGATGTGAATGTTTCCAACCGAGTCATAACCCCGGAGGCTGGTGCTGAGATGAGCGAGGTCTGTGGCCCGCAACAAGCTCGCAAAGATGGGTTGTGCTATATCGTGTAAATGGAAGATGAAAAGCGGTCTGACCAGCTGCCTTTGGATTAAAACACCACTAGCAAACATCGTAAGTGATTGCTACATGCATTGAGTAGATCAAGTTGATCGTTTTCCGTTTAGGATTTACAAAAGAAATAAGCGATTGATGAACCCCAGGAACGAGATGACAATACCTGATGTAAAAAAGAAATTTGTTCTAATTGCGTCCATAAACTGGAAAAATTTCCAAATCTACTACGAATTAGTTGTGTCGATTTAGAACGGAATCCTGGTGTGTAAACAGCATGCGTGTGACGAGCCTACGTCAATGTGTTTTTGTGAAGTTCATCAATGAATCAATACCATACCAAGTTAACCAACCATTCCTAATTTCTGAGTCACGTGTTCCCGGTGATTTAACAGGGTAGCGAAAAAAGCGTGCCATTAAATACAAATAATCGTAAAAAGGTGATGACCCAATGTCAAACAGTGCAAAAAAACACGACAGATGACAGTTGACCCACTTTTCTAACTAACTAATAAACAATGAACTTTGTAGTCACCAGAACTTGTTTTCCGGTTGAGCAAACTGGAAATCTATACTGGCAACGATGAACTAGATAGGAACCCGACAGAACAGAGATGATCGTAGGTGTTCATTCTCCGACGAGATTAAAATTCAGCGTTCTATATTGGTAACTGCCAAGACTGAGCTAATTCACATTGGGTAATAATTAAGACAATTTCATTCCCAAATAGTGACATATCTTGTGACATGTGGCATGAATATGAACCAATTAATTTACCTAGCATCCTGCATCAAAGCTCTGTCGCAGAGGAGATTATCACAAAATCCTTCATTTTACCCTCTATATTGTTTAAATAGTGGATTCCGTCATAACATGGGGACAAACAGTGAGTATTCTATTGCAGTATACTTCGATGAATCAATCGCTTCATTTTTTTTTAACTTGGTCGCCAGAATTTAAAACAGTTATTTCGAGTATAACAACGTTCGGACACCTAATAAACTTAGGAGGCTTAACTAGAATGTTTTCTGTCATTATTTAGTCTTTACTCGTCGTTCCTAGCGTTCAATCAAAATCTGTAAGCTTTTCTGCACCGCTCTTTTAGCCTTGATTACTACCCTGTTTTGAGTGCTCGAAGTAGCGATACAATATACATACAATATCCGTATTCAAAACTAGTAGCTCCCAGTTTCCATCATGTGCACACGGGCGGACACAAATGTACTGACAGCTTCCGCCTGAGGTTTATTCCACTCCGTGGTCTTTGTGATCAACAAGGTTTTACCATATCTAGGATGCATCCCACCAGCAGTAGTTCCGCCTTAAAAAGGCATTTCTTGAATGGATAAAACTACAGTTATAGCTATACAACGGTAACTTGTGTGGCCTATCCTTGATTAAAACGTTCGCTGCACTTACCTGTAGTATTATTGATTGATCAGCCCACACAAGTTACCACCACACGGGCACATATGTGTATTAATCCGACTTGCTCCATACTAAGATCGACTCGCTTCAGCCAATCAATCTTCAATGTTCAGCTGTCCACCTGATTGATTCGGTACCTGTTTGATCGCATACCGGCTGGATTTGTTTATTCATTGGGTTTTGCCAAGTGCTTGTCTGCTGACGCTTTTGCTTGCTCATCGACCTAGGCGAGTACGCGCTACAAATAAACAAACTGCTTACATCATCGCGTGATTAGTTCCTCACTTGCTTAACCGAAACTCAATAATCCGTAAACCGACTGGTACCAAATGTAAAAACAATGAATGAAGGCTAAAAACCTAGATTGTACAGTAATTTTCTCGCTCAACTGTCTGACGGTTTTTATCCCCTAAATCCCCTGAGAATTTAACTGTGTTCCATTGTCAGGGGATTTAGGGGATAAAAACCGTCAGACAGCATCTGAATCGAGCGCCATATTAAATCGAACAGTTTATCAACTGTAATAGCATTTCGGTTGATTTGGTGGTAACCTTCTAGGACTATACGGGTCCTGTTTTGCTGCTTCATGGTTCAGTAACTGCTGAGAAGGAGCATAAAGCGATTACTGGACCTGACTTAGGGCTACTTTTTACATCAAAGGTCGGCGGAGCTATGCACAATTTTTTAGCATCACCAATTCCTGGAGAAGAAAACATCTACCTAGGCCGTGAATGGACATGTACTGCTCTACTAGCTAAATGGTCTAAAATCATCAGTAGCGGTATCGGAGATCAAGGCTGGCAAGTGAGGAAATAACATAAACGTCATAAACGTCTGTAGAATACATGATGACGTAAGTGGAACTGATCCACCATTGAATACGGCTAGCGAAGCAATCCCGCTATTCGACTACACTACCGATAACACCTAGGTTTGGGGAGTACTCTCGAGATGGCACATTTTTCCATACATTCAACGATTCTCCATCGATTTATTCACAAAGCCGAATCAATCCTCATGAAAAACGAAATCATTCAAAATTAGAGAGCACCAACTAGATACAGTTCAAGAAATTGGAGTGACGCGTTATATTTGTAGCACACTGGAATTTGGTGGTGAAGTGCCAAGTGCATATGCAACCCGGATGAGGTGAACACTTCTGTCACACGGATACTGAAGAGCGTGGTATTGTATGCCTTGCACGTCTTCCGTGATCGGTGTAGAGTTAAGCCAAAATCCCAAGAAACGACTACTACTGGTCATTCAAACCGGTGGAGAGTGCCAGGCACTCGTCCTTGTCCCCATATTTATGTGGGTCAACATCCTAACATCCTAACGTCTGGAACACGCCAGGGACAGCAACTCAAACCACCTGACCACCAACACTCTGGAGCATTGAAGGCAAATTACCATAAATATGCTTCTTTTAAGCCTACTGCTTGAAATGTGATGCTTGGAGAATGGTTCTAATCGATTAGGTGATGGGCAACGTGAAAACCTTGATCGATAATTAGGTGCAAGGAGATTTCATTTTCCTTCGCAGAAGTCTGTAGAAAGTGACTCATAAATCATCAGTTGAAGTGAAACTGAGTGTTCTATGAAGCACTTAGCAATGCGGATGTTATTCTTGAACCTAACATATTCGCCGACAACTAGCCATGAATGAGTGTGTGAAAATATCACTCAACCTACAAAATGATTTGAGTTTGTTTTTTTATCATTAAATTCACCTCGCTGAGTATAAATGTTCCATCATTAGTCGATGCCCACGTTGATGCACCGTACAGCAACGATTTTGTAATAGCTCACAACGTAATAGCAGAAATTCGATCAAGCTGTCAGTGCACAAGACATCCTGAACACTTGCAGGTTGGCATTTCGCAATTTTATACATTGGCATCACCGAACAAAGCTCTTGTGATCATTCGGAGTACGCTAACAGAT